GTATCCATCTTCTTTTTTGTAGCAAGCTATTCCTAATAAAGAATTTATTCATAGAAAACTATTCCTAATAAATAATTTATTCATAGAAAACTGTTCCTAATAAAGAATTTAACAAAAAAGATAAGAAAAGAAAAAGAGGAGGAAAAAGAAAAAATCCAGAAAATTCTGGGAAATCTGGAAAAATCTGGAAAATTCTGATTATATCTGCAACATTCCAGAGTTGGGAAATACATTATCTTGTTCAAGGAACAGCAAGGAGATTGGTGTCCCTGAGAGAGTATGTGTGTATGTGTGCGTGTGTGTGTGTGTGTGTGTGTATGTGTGTGTGTGTGTGTGTGTGTGTAGGGGGTTGTGGTGGGGGAGGAGCATAAAGTATAAGAAGACTGGAAAGGTGGGAGAGAGGAGTTTGGTTATGAAGAACATTTTCCAGTTGATCCTGGAGGGGACTGGGGGACACTACAGGTAATTGACTAGGGAAATGACATGGTTGGACAGAGCCTTAAGAGAATTGTTCATTTGTAATATGCAGATTTATCATCCATTAGTACATGAAAGATGATCAGCTCCTGATGTATAATTCTAGCCACCAGAACATATTTACTAGGTATTTGTGAATGATAGATTTTTACAATCTATGTTATAGTAATGATTATTATTTTTATGTTGGTGGTTGTCAAAATTATCTCACTCTTCTCATCACTGTTCAAAGAGAGATGGCACTGGAAGAAGTCACTCTCTGGCTACTGTTCTGCTATAATTCAATGCCTTTTAACTCTTGTGAGGTGGATAAAAGTAACTGCTTTCATAGCTGAATAAAAGTTCAGCTTTTATGAATGTAAATTCATCCCCTTTAGGATCCTCGAAAGTAGCCTTAGTATAACTTCAACAGTCAACAGGACAACATGGAAGACATACCATTTCTCATACAACTTTGATTTCCTCAGCTTGATCTGTATAATTTGAAAGATTTTCTTTGGTTGTAGCTTGAAGATTGTGAATTTATAGTATGAAGAGACACTTGCTAGCTATGTGACCTTGGTCAAGTCACTTAACCCTGTCTGCCTCAGTTTCCTCATCTGTAAAATGAGCTGGAGAAAGAAATGACAAACCACTCCAGTGTCTCTGCCAGGATAACCTTAAATGGCATCATGAAGAGTCAGACATGACTGGAAAAACAATTGAGTGTGGAGAGATCTAGTAAAACGTTATTTTAAAATTCTTATCAATCAACATTATTTCCAGATAATTTCAGGTGATAGTTCAGTCTAGTTCCAGTACAGTCTGTTGATTGTGTTCTCCAGGATATTTTGACATCTATATTTAGAGTATGAAGATCTGTCATCTGGCATTCCATGATAGTGAGCTTCTCATATATACTTCTAGCCACCCAGTCATGTCTTACTAAGCATTTGAGAGGTATAGTGTTGTTCCATAATCTCCACCATTTCTTTGCAGAAGATACACTGATTATTAAGTCCAGGCTTCTTTAGGATAACCCTCTGTAACTTCTCATAGTAATGTCCTGGTCCTGAATTATCATTATACATCCCTCCATTTCCACAAACAAATCCATGTGATCCAGACATTTTTTCATCAGTATATTTGTTAGCTAAGTTCATCCACATGTAGATCACACAGGGTCTTTTGATTCTGCTCTGGAATCTCAGTTTTTTCATAAGCTATATCTGGAGGTAAGCCACTTTGACTTACATTGAAATATATGTGTGTGTGTGTGTGTGTATGAAAGCATATATACACACATATATGTAGACACATACACACACACACACACATATATATATATATATGTTAGTAGCCTTTGTTCATGATTTCTGATTTTCCAAGAATATATCTGTAGGTTTTTAAAATATGATTATCAGGTTCTCTAAAACATCTGTCATCTTCTTCCTCCTTTTGAACATTCCTGCAGCTTCCTTAGGGTAACAGGCCCTGTATTTTGTTAATATTGTATGGATTTTTGTGAAGGTATTTTCCAAATCTGTAATGGTCACTTTTATAATTAAGAATATTGTTTAGATGTAAAGGGTCTTCACTATGTTCTTCCCATTCACCTTTCGTTTCAGAATGCCCACAAATTTCTTAATGCATTATTATCATTATTATTATTATTATTACTGTTGTTTCTCATTTTCAAACCATATTTTATAGTCAATGAGTAATAAGTGAAGTTCTCTGAAGGTAACAACCAGTAAATGGCCCAAACCAGAATCAGAAAGCTAGGCATCTAGAAAGTGAACAAAACAACAATACTGAAGAAACCCAACAACCAGCAAGCCCAGGCTCAAGATGGATAGTTTTGTTAGATGGAGGGCGGCAATGAGACCAGAGAGAGAAAAAGAAAAGGAGTCCAAAGATCCCAAATGGGCTGTAGAGAAATCTCTGTAGACAAGGGAAGAAGTAGGGTTTATGAGCAATTACTTGATATGTTAAACCATTCCTAAATTGTATGTCTGTGTGCATAGGTGTGTGTGTGTGTGTCTGTGTGTGTGTGTGTATGTTTCCAGGAAGGGGGCTATTCAGGGTAGAGACCATAAGGTTCACACTCATCTGTCTTTCCCAAGTATGGTAAAAATGGTGTGGCTCCCATGCTTTTGAAGTGTACAGACCAAATATAGAACCAGACACTAAAAGAGAAAAGGGACAGGCTGATCGTGGCTCCTTCTTACAAGCCCCACATATTATGGGCTTGACCACACTCCTTCCATCTAAGGGAGGAAAGGCTGAATTTAAATGAAGACATTCATATTTGTCTATATGACAGTTGATACCGTTAACAGATCCCATCTTGGTTTTCACAAGTCCTCTCATTATTAATGTTCATTGTTACCATTGGCAGACACCCCCCTCACTTCCAGCCAGGGCCTCTTTCACTATTTTAACCCATTGTCCCTCATACTCTTAGAGAAGAATATGAGGAACACCCCTCCAATAGTATCAAAGAGACCTAGAGAAAATATCCCAGCAATTCTCTTGCCTCTGGCTACACAGGATATACCAGTCGACTGAACCCACTGACTACTAGCCTGCCTACCCACCCCAGCCCATCATGGGAGACCTCAAATCTTTCCCTGAGGCTCAGAGTCCAGAACTGTCTATTAAGCAACTGGAGTAGTAGACAACTGGTAGGGTGGGGACTAGGTGACAAGCAGGACTGGATCCTTTCCTACTCTCATCATCAGCGTTGCTGCCTGCTTCATTATGGCATGATACATACAGTAAGGTGACATTCACTTAGCACATGAACTCTTGCAAAGCACTTTGCATGCATTATGTCATTAGATCACTATTGCCCTTACCATCACCATCATCATCAATATCACCACCACCATCATCGCTGTCCTTACCACTGTCATTATCAATACCACTGCCACAACTACCACCACCATCTTAATTGTTTTTACCCTATCATCATTGTCCTAACTACCATCATCAATCCCACCACCACAACCACCATTCCATCGTTATTGCCATTGTTAATAGCATTTTGTTGTCATACAAAGTGAAAAACAGGTCTACTTCACTGCATATAATGCTGTAGATTCAAGCATCACAATTTTAGAAGGAAGGGACTTTACAGGTCATCTAAACCAATCTGCTCATTTTACAAGTGTGGAAACTGTTGCATAAATAGCTTACCCAAGGTAGTACTAGAGCCAAGATTTTTACCCAATCCTTTGACCCCAGATCTAATGATTTTCCCACTTCACCAAAACAGATATTCCTGGTAACCCCAGCTACAAATGATCTCTCTCTTCTTTGACCTCCTAAAGTATTTAGTGATAGCAACTCTTATGGCACCTATATTCCATTATAGATATTTGTGAATTCATAGACCCCGTAATAAATTATAGGCTCATCGAAGGCAGTATATTTGTCTTAGTGATTTTTTTTATCTTTAGCAACCCTGAGCACAGAGCCTTACACAGAATAGTCCTTCAAGTATTTGTTGAAGCAATGAATAAATAAAAAAAATGAATATATGGTCAGTTGCTCCCTTTTAATTTTCCCCTGAAAAATAAGAGGGGAGTGGGAGCCTTAGACCTGGGTTAACCATTCAGTGATTTGAGGAAGTGAAAGCCTGAGGACAAAGTTCTATGCTGAAGCTTGAGTATGTGAATGGAGGTGACAGATGGATACCTCACAAATATATTTCTTGTAGAAGATACAGTTCAAGGCTGAAAATAAGGTAAGAATGTTTTGGGGGATAATAATAATATTATAGTTGGAGAGACAAAAAGATATCTTAGTGGCCATGTATTCAAATGACCTCGTTTTGGAAATGAAGAAACTGAAACTCATATGGTCTAAGTGGTTTTCCCTAGGTCACAAGAGTCATAAGGAACAGAGTCAAGATCTGAATTTAGGTCCTCTGACTCCTAGTTAAATTCTCCCTTCCCTGTATTGCCCTGGATTCTTCATAGGGGAGGGTGGGGGGGGGAGGGATGGAAGGGATCATGAGGACACTTGGATATTTCTAGGAGTGAAGAGAACAGTGATCAAAACCCATAGAACCTTAGCCCAGGGGCTGGACTTCATAGCATCTTCCTTAGACCTGATTGGAGGACTCCCAATCTTTAGAAAAGTGGCTTTCTGAAAATACAATCTAGCCCTCCCTATCCACTCCACCCCACCCAGAGGAGCAGTCTTAACTTTGCCATGGTTTGGCATAGCGAAAAGAGCACTGGACTTCATTTCTGAGGATAAGGATTCTTTTGTCTTCTTCCCCAACTACTCCTGTGATCTTGTACAATGTCTCAGTTCCCTCATCTGTAATAACTGATAAGAGGCTGTCCCTTTCAAATGAATGATCCTTGTATTAGCTCATGTCATGTATGAGAGGCTGGAGAATGTCAGGAATTGTCTGACACATGCCATGGGTTGGGAAAGGCACTCTTCCTCCTAGAGAGCTGGGTCTCATGCCAACAGCTCAGCCTGGGATGCCCTATAAAAGGTGTCCCTGCCCCTAGTTTCTCACCCACTCTGGTTCTTCAGCAGAGTTCCTGTCCGTGTCTGTGATCAGGGTGAGTGTTTCGTGAGAGCCTTGGAGGAGGGTATTGGAGGAGAGGGAAGGAGAGAACAGGAAACAGGGGGAGAGAGGAGTGGGAAAACAGGCAGCAGTGGGGATGAAGGAAGAGGCATAGGGAGTCTGGGAAGGAGGAAATAGAGTTACACTTAGAAGTACAGCAGTTTGGGAAGAAGAAAAGCTTGTGCTTTGGATTTGTTCTAGGCTGCTGGAGAACTAGTCTGGATCTGCCCAGGAAACAACTGGGCAAGGGCTGAATGTCTGGAGGAGAGAACAGCTAATGTCTGAGTTCCTTGAAATTGTCATGAATTGAAACCCAAAGGATGTGATCAGTTAGTTAGCCAACAGACATTTATTAAGTACTTACTGTGCCAGTGCTGGGACTCCAAAAAAGGAGGGACAAAACAGTCCCTGCCTTCAAGGAGCTCACATTCCCATGGGAAAGACAAGAGGCAAACAACTATAAATGGGAGGTAATCACCAGGTGGGATGCACTGGTATCTGGGGGAAGACTGGCAACGGCTTCTTGCAGAAGGTGGGATTTGAGCTCAGTGTTGGAGGGACCAAGGAGAGCTGGGGAAAAAGAGCATTTCATGCATGAGGGACAGCCTGGCAAAAGCCACAGTGAGGAGGAGGAGTGTTAGGTGTGAGGCTGGATCACAGAGGGTGTGGAGTTCAGTAAAGGGTAGGAATGTGCTAGGTTGTGATTGGCTTTACAAGCCCAACAGGGGACTTTCTACTTGATACTAGAAATAACTGGGAGCTGATGGAGTTATCGAATGGGGTGAGGGTTTATGTAGTCAGAGCTGCGCTTTAGGAAGTCATTGTGACTGGTGAATGAAGGATGGACTGAAATGTGGAGAGACTTGGGCCAGGCAAATCCACCTCCAGGCTATTGCAATAGTCCAGGCCTGAGGAAATGAGAGCCTCACCCAGAGTGGTGTCAGTGTGAGAGGAGAAAAGGGGGTTTGTTTTTTTTGTTTGTTTGTTTTTTTTTAGGCAATTGGGGTTAAGTGACTTGCCCAGAGTCACACAGCTAGTAAGTGTCAAGTGTTTGGTCTGAGGCCGGATTTGAACTCAGGTCCTCCTGACTTCAGGGCCGGTGCTCTATCCACTGCACCACCTAGCTGCCCCAAAAAGGGGGTTTGTACAAGAGATGTTTTGAGGTTAGAAACTTGGCCACAAATTGGAAATATGGGGGGGGTGGTACAGCACGGGAGTGAAAAGTGAAGGACGAAGATAAGGTGAGATTGTGAGCTTGGGGAACTGGGAGGATGGTGCCCTCAATAGTAATAGAGAAGTTCAGGAAAAGGATTTGACGGGAAAGATAATAAATTCTGTTTTGAATGTCTAGAGGCATTTTTCCCTAGAACATGTAAACTACAATTTAACTTTTAAGATTATGTATAATTTACCTAGTTCAAAATTATGTATCATATTGCATACACATACACACACATACACACACACATATATTATATATATATAATATATATATATACATGGAAATAGATAAAATGTTTGTAATTCCATATACATATTTATATTTAAGATTCCCAAATTCTAACTAAAAGGCATTTAGCTGGAAGAAATTAAGTCTTTTCTTTCTGGAATCTAATGTGTTCTAGGTAAAATTTACCAATACAAGGTAGTTTAATTACAAGTGAACAGAAGTTTCATATATTTTAAAATGGTTATTATATTTCAGGGTTACTGAACTCAGCCAGAGATGTCCTGCCAACAAAACCAGCAACAGTGCCAGCCACCTCCAAAGTGCCAGACCCCCAAATGTCCTCCCAAGTGCCCCCCAAAATGCCCTCCCCAGGCTCCCTGCCCTCCTCCAGTCTCTTCCTGCTGTGGCTCTAGCTCTGGGGGATGCTGTGGGTCCAGCTCTGGGGGGTGCTGCAGCTCTGGCTCCGGGGGCGGCTGCTGCCTCTTTTCCCATCACAGGAGATCCCACAGACTCCAGCACCAGAGGTCTGACTGCTGTGACAGTGGCAGTGGGCGCAGCCAGCAGTCTGGAGGCTGCTGTGGCAGCTCTGGGGGCTGCTGCTAATCTGGTGCCCTGACCTAAGAAGAACAGAAGAGGCTGTTGACTCTGATCCTTTTTCTCCTCACTCCGTAGCCCCCTGCCTCTTCTCTTGGATTTAACTGTTCAGATGGTCTTAGGTGATGGAGAAAATCAAGACCTATCACTTCATTTTATCTCAAACCCTGCCCCCCCCATTATTCAATCCCTCTTCTTCCTCATTTATCCTGAGCAATAATAAAGCTATTTGTTTTGTTTTTCTGGTCACAACTGCATCTTATTCTCTGTTCTCTCTTTATAACTTTTTTCAAGGCTCCCTTCTTGTTAATGCACCCCCACACTTCCCTGAGTAATGCCTTCAGGGACTGCCCAGGCAGTGATTGTTGGTGGTAGGGCTGGGAGGCTGGGTAAGCTTCTCCACATTCAGACCTAAGAGGATGCATAGAATGTCTATGTAGAAATCAGTTGGTTGTGACAGCCACCCTTCCCTAAAGGACAGAAGGTGCCCAGGCTTGAAACCTCAAGACAGAGAGCGCAGGTTTGTCTGGCTCTGAGTCACTGGCGAGAAGCAAAGACTCAAGCCCAGGTGAAAAGGGGAGAAGCTAGTCAGGTGTGGGAGCAACCCCCTAGTGTGGGGCAGAGTGTCCCAAGGGGCAGCGGCTGGTGGGAGACCTCAGGAGGACTCATCTCTTCCTGTTGGATCATTCAAGGTTGGGGTGCCTAAAGAAAACATGATCTGTACTTATCTACCTTTTCCCTCTCTACACTCTTCCTGGCTGTTTGACCCAGAGCACAGGAATGTCCAATACTGTCCTCCATTCCCAGTCTTTACAAAAGCCCTCTCTGGCACTGAGCTTTCCCTTTTTCATTGATTATGGCCCCCAAATCTCAGAAAAGACACAGTGTTTCTGAGGTCTGCCCTGGTCCTTCTAAGATGGCCTTTTCTTCTTAATGAGATGCTCCCAATTCTGGAGCCCAAGTTCAACTTCCAGGTCCTGTCTTCTGGGTCTACTCCCCTACTACCTTTATGGTTATTGTCACATGCTTTCTGGACCTCTATTGACCTTCTCCCTTTTCCTCAAATCTCCTTATCCCAAGGGTCTTAGCTCAAAGTTATATGTCAGTTGCAGTAACAATACTATAAGCTAATTCACTTAATGACTAAGCATGGCAACAAAGAAATGAGAAAATACACCTTTTTCTCCTCTTTGCAGATGTGGAGGACTTTGGGTGTGGAATAGGGCATATAGTGTCAGGCTTGGTTGGCCTGTTGGCTAATTTTGCAAAGCTTCTTCTTTTTCTTTTTTATTCCTTCTTATAAAGGATAGCTTAGTGGGTAGGGGACAGGGGGATGGATTCATTTGAATATGAAGGTGAAGTCACCAAAATGTACCAAAATTAAGAGAGGTCAATTCTTTTTTTTATATGTTAGCATTCATGCATGCTGCTTTAAGGTTTGCAAAGCATTTTATAAATAACATCTCATTTTATTTTTACATGAAACCTTTGGAGGCAAGTGCTATCTCTCTCCCTATTTTAGAAATGCTGAAACTGAGACAAACAGAGGTTGAGTGACTTGACCAGAGTCACACAACTGATAAATGTCTGAGACCAGATTGAATTCAAGTCTTCCTGGCTCAAGGTCCAGTGTTCTGTCCACCATGCCATCTAGATTTTGATCTTGCTTCCATTTTGGCCTTAATTCATCTCTTTTTTTTTTTTCTTGGTAATTTATTATTTATTTTATACGTTGTCTTCTTTCTAAATTTTGACTTTAAATTCTCTGCCTCTCTCCTATCCCTATCCCACCTGCTAAGGTAAACAAAACTATACATGTGAAATCATGTAGAATATATTTCCACATTAGCCATATAGAAACAAAGAAAAAAAGAAAATTATTCTTCAATTTACACTCACAGTTAATCAGTTCTCTCTATGGAGCTAGATAATTTTTTTCTTCATTCTGAATCCTTTGGAATTGTCTTGGATCACAGTATTGATCAAAGTAGCCAAGTCTTCCAAAGTTGATCATCATTAAAACGTTGTCATTGTGCACAACGATCTCCTGGTCCTTCTCACTTCACTTTCCATCAGTTCATATATGTCTTGCTACGTGTTTTTTTCCCTGAAACTACCCCCTTGCCTTGTCAATTCTTATTGCACAGTAGTGTATTACAATCATATGCCACAACTTATTTAGCCGTTCCACAATTGATGAGCATTTCTCAATTTGCTATTATTTGCCACCAAGCAAAAAAAAAAAAAAAGAGCCTCTATAAATATTTTTGTATATACAGGTATTTTTCCTTTTTCTTTAATCTCTTCAGGGTGCAGACCTAGCAGTGGTCTTGCTGGGTCAAGGGGTATGCACAGTTTTATAGCTCTTTGGGCATAGTTCCACATTATTCTACAGAATGATTAGACCAGTTCACAACTCCACCAACAGTTTATTAGTGTACCTATTTTTCTCCATTCCCCCCAGCATTTGCCATTTTAGATAGGTGTGCGGTGGTACCTCAGAATTGTTTAAATTTGCATTTCTCTAGTCAATAGTGATTTAGAGCATTTTTATGCGACTATTGATAGCTTTGATTTCTTCTGAAAACTGCCTGTTCATACCCTTCCACCACTTATTAATTGGGGAACGGCTCTTATTTTTTATTTGATTTAGTTCCCAATATATTTAAGAAATGATGCTTTTATCAGAGAAACTTGTTATAGTGTTTTTTATATTACTTCATTGTCAATGGTACTTTTTAGCAATGTAGTTTCTCTGATTATCTCTCTTTATTAGGTGTATTTTTGTTTTTGCTTGGTCTGAGATCACAATTGCTATTCCAGACTTTTTTATTTCAGGTGAAACAAAATACATTCTGTTCCAGCCCCTTGCCTTTACTCTGTGTTTGTTTCTGTTTCAAGAGCGTCTCTTGTGAACCACATACTGTTGGATTCTGATTTCTAACCTGTCTTCTATCTGCTTCCCTTTTATGGATGAGGCCATCCCATTCACATTCATAATTATGATTACTATGTATTTCTCTCCATTCTGTTTTCTTCTGTTTATCCTTCTCACTCTCTTTTAATCCTGCCTCTCCTCAAAAGTCTGTTTTGCTTCTGACTACTGTCTCCCTTCATTTAGCCTCCCTTTACAATCTCCCCTTATATCTCATATTCTCTTCCTCTTATATTTCCCCATTGAGTTTGATAGATTTCTATACCCAATTGAGTATGTTTATGTATTCTTCCCTCTATGAACCAATTCCAATGACAGTAAGGTTCAAGCATTGCCCATCCTCTCCCATGATTTATCTTTCCACTACCCAAGCTCTTCCTTGTATACCTCTTTTATGTGAGAATATTTTTCCCATTCTGCCTCTCCCTTCCTTCTTCTCCCAATGCATCCCTCTTCTTCACCCCTTCATTTGTTTCTTTTGGGATCATCCCAACATAATCAACTCATGCTCATGGCCTCTGTCTATATAGACTCCTTCTAACTGCCCCAGTAATGATAAACTTCTTAAGAGTTACATGTATCATTTTCCTATATAGGAATGTAAACAGTTTCACTTTATTGAGTCTCTTATGATTACTCTTTCATGTTTGCCTTCTTATGTTTCTCTTGAATCTTGTGTTTGAATGTCAAATTTTGTATTTAGCTCTGGTCTTTTCATCAGGAATGCTTTAAAGTCCTCTATTTCATTAAATGTCCATTTTTTCCCCCCCAGTGAAAGATTGTACTCAGTTTTGCTGAGGAGGTTATTCTTGGTCATAATCCTAGCTCCTTTGCCTTCCAGAATATTATATCCCAATCTCTCTGCTCCTTTAACATGGAAGCTGTTAAATCTGTGTGATCTTGACTATGGCTTCATGACTTTTGAGTTGTTTTTTTCTGGCTGCTTACAATATTTTCTCCTTGACCTGGGAGCTCTGGAATTTGGCTATCATATTCATTTTAAGATCACTTTTAGAAGGTGATTGGTAGATTCTTTCCATTTTTATGCTTTGGATCTAAGATATTGGAACAGTTTTACTTTATAATTTCTTGAAATATAATATCTAGACTTTTTTTAATCATGGTTTTCAGGTGGTCAAATAATTCTTAAATTATCTCTCCTCAATCTATTTTCCAGGTATCTTGTCTTTCAGATAAGATATTTCACATTTTCTTCTATTTTTTCATTCTTTTTACTTTGTTTAATTGTTTCTTATCTCTTAGTCATTAACTTCCACTTACTTAATTCTCATTTTTAAGGAGTTATTTCCCTCAGTGAGCTTTTGTACCTCTTTTTCCATTTGTCTAATTCTGTTTTTGAAACAGATTTTTTTAAGATAATTATTTGTGTTTCTTTCTTTTGTGTTTCTTTTTCTTTTCTTTTTGTGTTTCATTAGGCCAATTCTCTTTTTTAAGGTGTTATTCTTCAGTATTTTTTGTGCCTCTTTTACCAAGCCATTAATTTTCTTTTCATAATTTTCTTGCTTCATTCTCATTTATTTTCCTAATTTTTCCTCTACCACTTTTATCTCTTTCTTTAACTCTTATGGGAATTCTTGTTGGGTTCATGTCTAATTAGCATTTTTCTTTGAGGTTTTGATTGTAGCTGTTTTCACGTTGTTGTCTTCTTCTGAGCAAGAACCAAAGTACAAACATTTCCCCACCCCCAATGAGGGTTCACTCATATTTATAATACCTGGGGCCCTGGAGAGAGTGGATTCTTCCTTAATGCAGTTACTACAAAGTATTCACCCTCACCAAATTCACTTCGTAGTGTAGCATAGTTGATGAATGAATTGCTGTGAATTGCCTTTATTGCTTCCTTGGGTATCATGGCAAACTGAGCTAAGCAGGACATTGCTCTTCATTAGGCATGGTGGTCTACAAAATCTACCATTGATTGTGTCTCCTAGAATTCTGGTGACTTCCTCTCCAGATCTTTTCAAACTCAGAAAGTCATAGCCTAGTGTGATATTCCTTCACATTGGGGAGGGGGAGGGGCACAGAACAAATCTAAAGAAAGAGATAAGGACAAACACCTATGTTCTAGGTCCACATGTTGGTGTCACAGATAAAGAAGCTACTTTCCCCACCCATAGACTTACCTAATTCCTTTCCTTTACATTTGAATATAGGTAGGCAGGAAGGAAGAAAGAATTAACTGATTATCTCCTTTTTAAGCATTGTAAGTTCATAGTATAGTATTGACTCTAAAGGTTCCTTTTCTTCAATTGGTAAAGCCAACTGGAAATGATGTCTGAAGTCTAC